AAATCCACTCACAGATATTATATAAGCATTCTTTGGTCATATTTTTTTCTGTCAAAGACCAACCTTTGTATATTTGATTATGAACAGATACTCTTGGATATTTTTTGGATATTTTCTGCTGCCTTTGAACAGTTATTTTATGATTGGTAGTCACAGGGTGTTCCCATTTTTCAAATCAGATTTGTGTTTAGTGTGAGGTACTTATTTTGTGGACAGATGAGCAAGTTCATACTTTAAGATAGAGACACACCTGTCAAAGAGGTGGATGTCAGTCTTAAAGTTTATGTGGTGAATATGTGCCAGTACGGACATGTCTTTCAACACCAGTTACATCCAGGTTTTCCCTGTTAGCAGCAGGACATCCTGTCATAGATAGATACAGGCCTCTCTGCAATTAGTCAAGATCTACGTCTTTGTAAGATGTCTCATACCAGTAAAAACAATGGGAAAACCAGCACTCAGTATTTGGTAAGGCATGATGTCTTGTGAAGTTGGTCCCATGGGCATTTTGTTCCTAAAGTTGCTGTAGTTGCTACATTTAACCGTTTTGCCAGTGAAAGGGTGGGACTGAGATGCTGACCTAGTGGCACGTTTAAATTCATGCAGTTTGGGAACTAGCAAAAATAGCTTGTTGAAACAGTTACTGTGAAAGTATTTGTAAAATAGACAGAGAGAAATGACGGCATGTCTGTGTGAGAGCGACTGTAAACGAGATGCCAGATTAGTGTATTTTACCCTTTCATAGTGTTTTGACCCCAGTTTGAGGGTTAACTATTTGCCCATAGCTGGGACCCTAACATCTGCTACCACGCCAGGTGAGGATGGGCCTGGGAACACCAGCAATTAACATGTGGTTCTATGCTCCTCAAAACCTTCTGATCAGAGGCCTTGCTGCCAGATATAGTTTATTGTCTTACTCAGGACATAGATGTAGTTTACCATCTTACCCAGGGCGAGCAGGTTTTGCATTGATATGTTGTGTGCAAAAGACTTATCATATTGGAAGCGACTATGAACGTCTTCACCAGTAATCCTTCAGAATAAAATAATCTTTCAAAGATCTGTTTCATTTAAATGGTGTAAAATAAACTATCATTTAATATTGGGTACCTTTTTAAAGATTTTCTGTAGCCTTTTGTTCCTAAAGTTGCTGTGGTTTTTCTGAGGCAGTTTTATTTTGGTTACCTCCTGTCTCTTTCACCCCCCCACCTCTACTTATTACCCTCATAGTTGCTGGGAGAGCAATTGGTCAGGTGACCCCCCCCCAAACCTCAACACACTCTTGACACACATTACAACATTAAGTATATATCTGATCTGAACATAAAAATAAAAAAAAATCAATAAGACGTGACTGTTAAGTTATCACATTGAAAAAATTATTCCCATATCAAAAGTGAAGAATTAGTGCAGGTTCCGTAACATACCAACAGTTACCAACATACTAACAATCACTAATCATTTGCATTAAAGTGTGTTGCGAATTTAGGACACAAATTTTGAATTAATGCAAATCGTACCATGAGCACACTTGCTGTTCTAGAGAGGCAACAAGAACTCAGGAACTGTCTTGCACTTGGCTTAAATATAGCAAAATCATTTGAATGAGTGGCAGAATGATGTAACTGAATATTTGTCATCTATTTCCACTGGCTGCTGTAATAAACACCCGCTGATCAAATCTATTTAATCCTTGCTATATCCCCTTTCAAAGGAAAAGGGGAAGAAAAAAGAGAAAAACAAAATCAGCAAAAAGAAATAAAAAGAAGAAAAACTCTCTTTATTATTATTATTGGTTCAAATGCAATCCTAACCCTCACTTACTTTTCTTCCTTCCTTCCTTCTTTCCTTCCTTCCTTTCCTTACTTACTTATCCTCTTCCTCACTTTGCATCAACTGCTGAACAAGTGAAAAAGTCAAAAACAACCATGACTTATTTCGCAACCAGCCACCCACCCACCAAAAATGTATCACGTTTCCTTCTTTCCTTATTCAACCCTTCTGTCTTCTCCAGAATAAATCATGGGAGGGAAGATAAATTTAGTATGTGTCTATATTTCTGAAATGAGGTATTATGTACAGTATTTCAGCTTCGGCCTTCTTCAGGTGATTGGAATGTCAAACTGAACCCTTTATTTCACTCACTAGTTCCATGTGCCATGTTTAATGGATGTCACTTATCATTTATTCCCTCTGAAAGTTCTCCACTGCCTTAACCAGGTATTGAACTCACACTCTTTGGGTCCTGTCACTAACTATATCCACTGTGCCTTGAGGACATCTGTGTATGAATTTCTGGGTATTATAAACCTAATGTCTTCAGCAACCATTTTTTACCAGTGCTCATATTGCAACTTTTGTTGTTATCATGGCATGTTTTTACTAGAGCTCATATTGCAATTTTTGTTGTTATTATTGCTTTTCTCTGGAACTGGTTCCCATATTGTATTCATTTCTATGCTTGGTCAGCTCAGGAGATTTTTGTGGCCAACCAGCTGAAGGAGCGTACAACAGCTGAAACGTTGTAATAAATATGGCAACAAAGATGTGGACAATAGTCTGAATAACGTAAATAATGAAGATAACTTTAACATAACACTTTTTTCTCTCCTCACATCACATGCTTCCATCCCAATGATATTTCTGATCACCTCTAAACTTAGTCGCACATCCAATAAGGCAGATGCACCTCTCTGTTTGATGTTCGTGTCAGCTTGCTTTGAGATTCCTCCTTTAACTCATCAGAACTTTCATCATCTAATAGATTACTCACCTGTTGCACACCCAAAAACATGCTGAGGAAGCCTATCTACTGACATATCATTTGCTCCCTTACTGACTATTCTGGAGAAAACTGAGGGGTGGAACTGAAGACCAAGAAAGGGAGGAGCATGTCCCCTCCCCCATTGCAACATATAGTTTCTCTTTTTTGTTTTGCTCTCTTCACATCAAACTCTGTATACAAACATCACAATTCATTAAATCAGTTGGACATTGAGGTGAACAAGGACCTTTTTTCTATAGTAAACTGTACAAAATTTTCTATAGTAAACTCTACAAAGTAAACTGTACAAAATTTTCTATAGTAAACTCTACAAAGTAAATTGTACAAGGAGGTAGCATAGAGTAATGGATAGTGGTTCAGATTGAGGAATTGGAGAGCTGAGTTTGAATTCCAGTTGAGTTTATTAGATTCCCTTACATGCAAATATCCTTGGGAAAGGTAGGAAGCCATCTCTTTTTTCTCAAGTTATAGGTTAAATAGCAGGGCAAACAGGGTTCTATAGCCTGGGGTGGCAACCTGTCTAGAAAAAGGACAACTCTGAATTCAAAACCTCCTACTATAGATTAAATAGCCACAATTGGCTAAGCATGGTGAGTATGAATACACTCCTGAAGACATGGTAAATCAGGGACGGGTGAGTGAGAAGGCCCTGAATTTGAATCTGGTGCACTTTTGGTGACCCTGTAGGAATTAAGGAAAGTGTAGTAATGATCTGCTAGAATGTATTTGATTAGATAGTATTTGTAGCTAGTTAATGAAAGTACCACTGACATATATCAGCCATTGTCTCATCAAGTGCATTAACACCTTCAGTGGTAATATTTTTCTTTATGGAAATATTTAAATCAAAATTAGAACAGTGGAGATTCCACAGTGATGAAGCAGAGAAAATTCACTACAGTGTGAGGAGGACAAAATGAGGACAAGGCATAAATTTCCAAAAGGGGGATTTGTTTTTTTACAGTAAGGTTAACCCTGTACAAGGCCCAGACACCACTCAATAGAGGGTTAAGGGGCTGGTTAGTGTTTGTGGCAAGAGAATGAAAGTAACAGTGCCAGATCTCAGTCATTATTTCATTATATTTAAATTATACCTGAAGAAGACCAAAGAATATATCAACCAAAATGTCAATATTAAAGCAGCAAAAATGAAAACTATTTTATGGAATAAGGGAAAAACTTTGTTGCAGAGCTAATGACATTATCAGAAAGCCAAAATATATTGACACAAATGCTGTGTTTACTACAGGGATACAAAAGTTTTTGAAATGAGTGAAATAATGAATGTTTTTTTTAATCATTTTCACCCCATGCAATACAGTAAAGCCACTAAGACACAAAGGGTTACAGGGTGTGGAAGAATTAGGAACAGAAACAATAATGATGAACAGAAAGAGAAGAGAGTAATCAGGTGGACAGTAGATAGTGATTGACATTGTATTTAAATTTTTGCAAATTAAAGTTGGCTAGAAAGCATGGAGCCAGAAGGGAGTTCCACAAGCAAGAAGTGTGAAAAAAGAAACTGTTAGCATAGAATTTACGGTTACATCTAGCCAGTTTAACTGTAAATTGATGAGATCTCAACGCTAGTCTAGTACCGCACTTAAATTCAAAAACTCTAGGTACCATAGCAAAGAGTTGATCTGAACACTTACCATGAAAGTATTTATAGAAAAGACACAGAGAGGCAAACTTACAGCAGTGGGAAAGTGACTGAAACCAGGCTGCCAGACTAGGACTGATAATATTGCTGATTCTTGTTTGGATCTTATCAAGGAGTTCAAGGCAATTGGCACCGGACCATATGTGGCAGCAATATTCTAAGCATAGACAAATGGTAGACTTATAGATATGTAAGTTAGATTCTAAAAAGAAAAATTGTCTTGCCCAATACAATGAACCAACATTCTTAGCAGCTGACCTAGAATTGGATTTAATAAAGTCTTTCAGCTGAGAATGTTAGTCTGAGAAGATACAACAAATCACTCCCCTGGAGGTTAGCATCAGCCATGCTGATAGAAGGCAGAGAAGAGTCTCTCAGTTGATTAATGGAGAGAAGTTTAGTTAAAACTAACAAGCCATCTCTTGCCCCAGTTAACGACTTTCAATTTTAAAATATTTTTCTTAAAAGAATTATTTTTGTGTAGGCATCGTGTACAGGGAAGCAGCCATCTCATAAGATTCCAAATGAAAAGCAAGATTTGTGATGTCCTACCTTGGATTCTCTGTCTCCATTCTGTTTTTTCATGAAATTGATTACATCAATCGTTTCCCATTCTGTCTGTTGCATTTTTGACTGCAGAGCATGATTCTCCATCAGAAGTTTGTGAGCATTCTCTCTGAACAAAGACAAAAAAAAATATCCTTTTAAAAATGTGCATCTTTATTTTAAATCTAATTCCCCCTAAAAATGACTGGATTACTTACATAGGGATCAGTACTTGAGCCGAGGATCAGTCAGTGCACTTTGCCTAGGATCCGAATGACACATCATCTCTCTCTCTCTCTCGCACTAGCATCCAAATGAGCCATCACCACTCTCTGTTGGATCCAAATGACACCATCACCCTTTTCTCTAGGATCCAAATAACACTCATCACCCCTTTCTCTAGGATCCAAATGATAGTTATAACCACACTATCTGAAATCCAAATGAGACATCACTCTTCTCTGTTGGATCCAAATGACACCAACACCGTCTTTTCTAGAATCTGAAGACACTCATCACACTTCCCACTCAGATTCAAATGAAACTTATTAAACTCAAAGTAGGATTAAAATGACACTCCTTACGCCTCTCTCTAGGTTCCATATCAAACTCATTACCTCCCTCTGTAGGATCAAAATGACACTCATAACACCTTTCTCTCTATAGGATCCACATGACACTCATTGCCCCTCTCTTTGCAATCTAAATGATACTCATTACCCCTCACTCTAGGATTCAAATGATACACCTCATGCTCACTCTAGGATCCAAATTATATTGATCATTGCTCTCCCTCTTTCTCTGTAGGATCCAGAAGACATTCATCACTCCCTATCTCTAGGATCCAAATGACATTCATCATCCCTCTCCCTCTCTGTAGAATCCAGAAGACATTCATCACCCCCTCTTTCTAGGATCCAAATGACATTCATCACCCCTCTCCCTCTCTGTAGAATCCAGAAGACATTCACCACCCCTTCTCTCTAGGATCCAAATGAAATTCATCATCCCTCTCTGTAGAATCAAAAAGACATTCATCACCCCTCTCCCTAGGATCCAAATGACATTCATCACCCCTCTCCCTCTCGGTAGAATCCAAAAGTCATTCATCACCCCCTCTCTCTAGGATCCAAATGAAATTTATTATCCCTCTCCCTCTCTGTAGAATCCAGAAGACATTCATCACCCCTCTCCCTAGGATCCAAATGACATTCATCATGCCTCTCCCTCTCTGTAGAATCCAGAAGACATTCATCACCCCCTCTCTCTAGGATCCAAATGACATTCATCACCCCTCTCCCTCTCTGTAGAATCCAGAAGACATTCATCACCCCCTCTTTCTAGGATCCAAATGTCATTCACCACCCCTCTCCCTCTCTGTAGAATCCAGAAGACATTCATCTCCCCTCTCCCTAAGATCCAAATGACATTCATCACCCCTCTCCCTCTCTGTAGAATCCAGAAGACATTCATCACCCCCTCTTTCTAGGATCCAGAAGACATTCATCACCCCTCTCCCTAAGATCCAAATGTCATTCATCACCCCTCTCCCTCTCTGTAGAATCCAAAAGACATTCATCTCACCCTCTTTCTAGGATCAAAATGACATTCATCACCCCTCTCCCACTCTGTAGAATCCAGAAGACATTCATCACCCCCTCTCTCTAGGATCCAAATGATATTCAACATACCTCTCCCTCTCTGTAGAATCCAGAAGACATTCATCACCCCCTCTCTCTAGGATCCAAATGATATTCATCATCCCTCTCCCACTCTGTAGAATCCAGAAGACATTCATCACCCCTCTCCCTAAGATCCAAATGACATACATCACAGCTCTCCCTCTGTAGAATCCAGAAAACATTCAACACCCCCTCTCTCTAGGATCCAAATGACATTCATCACACCTCTCCCTCTCTGTAGAATCCAGAAGACATTCAACACCCCCTCTCTCTAGGATCCAAATGATATTCATCACCTCTCTCCCTCTCTGTAGAATCCAGAAGACATTCATCACCCCTCTCCCTAGGATCCAAATGACATTCATCATGCCTCTCCCTCTCTGTAGAATCCAGAAAACATTCATCACCCCCTCTCTCTAGGATCCAAATGACATTCATCACCCCTCTCCCTCTCTGTAGAATCCAGAAGACATTCATCACCCCTCTCCCTAAGATCCAAATGATATTCATCACCCCTCTCCCTCTCTGTAGAATCCAGAAGACATTCATCACCCCCTCTTTCTAGGATCCAAATGACATTCATCACCCCTCTCCCTCTCTGTAGAATCCCGAAGACATTCATCTCCCCTCTCTCTAAGATCCAAATGACATTAATCCCCCCTCTTCCTCTCTGTAGAATCCAGAAGACATTCATCACCCCCTCTTTCTAGGATCCAGAAGACATTCATCACCCCTCTCCCTAAGATCCAAATGACATTCATCACCCCTCTCCCTCTCTGTAGAATCCAGAAGACATTCATCACCCCCTCTTTCTAGGATCCAAATGTCATTCATCACCCCTCTCCCTCTCTGTAGAATCCAGAAGACATTCATCACCCACTCTTTCTAGGATCAAAATGATATTCATCACCCCTCTCCCTCTCTGTAGAATCCAGAAGAAATTCATCACACCCTTTCTCTAGGATCCAAATGATATTCAACATACCTCTCCCTCTCTGTAGAATCCAGAAGACATTCATCACCCCCTCTCTCTAGGATCATATGACAGTCATTGCACCTCTCTCTAGAATCAATGTGTAGAAACTATCTTCTCTATGAAAAGACTTACAAATAAACATATTCATATTGATGGAAAATAAAATTACAATATCCTGAAGAATGATACCAACTTTAACCTGTATACATGAAGTCTATGCTAGAGGTTAGTAGATATTCTGATAAAACTTTGAAAGTCTTCAGCAATCTTTTGAAGTAGTAGTGCATCCATTGCAAGCACAGAACTCATACAAGGGAGAGGCACAGAGAATTGCCATGCATTTTGGTCATGACATTAAGGATGCTTCTATGTTGTCAAAAGTGATTAACTTAACATACAGCCTTGTGGAAATTAATTGAAACAACTGCTTTAGTTTCTTTCATCATACGGCCAGTTTTACACCCACTGGAGTAACAAGGTGTAATCGAGTTGTATTTTTTCCTCGGATTAGATCATTTGCAGTGGTGTGCAGTAATATGAATCTGTTTTTGGGGTGTATGACAAAATTTGTTTGGCCTTGAAAAATATTTCGTCATCTGTGATTGCATCAAATTTTTATCACACACATACACTATTGTCTCGACTGTCAATTAGTTGTCCTATGGCCATTGTGATGGATGTTACTCCAATGAAGTGTAGGAAAATTGTAATGCTGCACAAACACACTGGCAAGCTATACCAGTGAGCAAATCAAAGTACTACAGACTGACCCAGAAACTGGGTTTCTGGGTCAGTCTATGATTTGCTCACTGGTATGGCTTGCCAGTGTGTTTGTGATTTAAATCCAATCGAGAATCTGTGGTCAGCCTGCAAGGAATGACTTCATGGAATGGACATATGAAATACTAACATGTGCACTGGCTCAAGTTTCATTGGAAAAATATGAAAAAAGTAAATAATAACGGAATTATTCATTTTGTTTCAATTAATTTGCACAAGGATGTAGGTGACCATAACCTTCCACGTCTTCCTGTATAATTAATTTGCACAAGGGTAAATGCAGCAATGGTTGATTGCACAACATGGATCAGAATAAATCTTGTTTCAGTAGTGTCACTCCTTCCCAGTCTTTTGGACAGGAGTAGAGGTTTATCCCTTGTTTCCTGTTGTTTCCAATTCCTTCTAAAGTCTTTTCATTCACTTTCATTCTCAGTATCCCTTTGTATCTTAGTGGAGTTATTGCCTTGCTTGGAGTGAAATGAATAAAAAGTGTTGGGAATTGTTTACTTGTAGAAAGATTATGGGCATGTGTGCTTCTAACCAGACATCCGATGCCACAACATTGTTGCATATGCTTCCATTGATGCTGCAAGGGGTTTACTTGGGGGAATCAAACTGCTCTGAAAGTGAATGTAACAAAACCTACTGTTTCATTAAAGTCTTTGAATAGTAGTACAGACTAAGTTCTATATCCTTAGTTGGCAACCAGTCTACTGCAGAAACGGTAGACTCTTGTGAGAAATCTTCTGCCTAGTCAGTCATGAATCGAAAGAGACATGATCACCTAAGTGTTCATCACATATGGCACTTAACTTTTAATGTTCAGTGATGAGAGCAGGTTCTGCCTTCATGCAAGCAACTGTTGTAGGACATAGACCTAGGGACCAATCTCTTCCAGACACTCTTGCTTGACTTTAGTGCTTGGAGAACATCCTATATATCCAGAAGATTGTTCATCCAATTCTGATGCCATTTTTATACTGGGAACAGCAGAATAATGCCTACCACCATGATGCCCATACTACTTAGTATGCCCTACAATACATTCAACAACATCCCTGGCCAACATAATTTTTGGACATCCTCATTGAACATATATAAGACATGATGGGATAATGCCTGTCATATTTACTGAGTGCATCTACAATTCTTGGTGTATTATGTCAACAAGCACAAGTAGTATAGAATACTAGACTACTAGTTTAGTTAATCAACAATTTCAAGCTAGACTTGCAAGCTATAACTTTTGTATAGTATGTTTAATTCTTACTGATTAAACTTATGACCTTGTGTCAGACTAAGTGTGACTTTATGTGAGAATTAACATTGCATTCAATTTCACATCAGTCTGTAAAAGGCAGCCATGTGTGGAGTTGATCTACTGGTTGTTCCCAGCCACTGAATGCAGAATTAAATGACCTTATACCTATATTGCAAGTGTGAGAACAAGAATGTTGAACAGGGAGATAAATAAACAACTGCCATAGGTAGTTTGGGGCAGTCTCTCACACACTGTGGATAGAGAATGTAGGGTCTGCATGTTGGGCCTGGGGGTGATGATAGGGGCTGCATGCCATAGACTGGCTTAGAGTAACTGATGAAATACTGGTGTGAATAAAACATAAAGTAACGAAGATTCAATCATGCCTTATGATTAAATTGCTAAGTTTAATCTGTAATTTCTGCACAAAAATAAGTGAATAGAGAAAAGAAGATATGCTTCAAATTCAAATTCTAGAAAAGAAATCTAAACAGTTTGAAAGCAAAAGAAAAAAGTAAAAATTTATGAAATATATCAACAGCTTGAAAGTGAAAGAAAAATGTCAAAATCTTTGTAAGAAAATTTGTAAGAACAAATTTTTTGAATTCATTTACTTGTATTCTTGCTTAAGTTTTTCCGCTGCTTCCAACCGAGCCTCCCAAAGAGAGGCGCTGGGTGCCGTCACATCTGAAACTTTCGATGCTTTCTCCTTCTTCCTATATAAAAAAAAAATATTTGGTCAATTAAATGGTGTAAATAGTTTAATTGAAGGTTTAACTGGCAAGAAGAGGAATTAGACAAAAGGCATGAAACAGAAATTACTTTTCTTCTGAGGTGAAGAGCAGAGTACACTTGCATTTCAAATACATGTGAGGTATCAGATAATAATGGGATGGCGGGGAGGATCTCTTAATTTCCAAAATAAACGGGGAGGGTGCTCAAATAAGGTGTAGGTGGGGGGGATCTTTTTCAGGAGATATACAAAATGATGTCCTGAATTCAATTCTTGAGGAAAGACACTGGATGTAAGAAAAAACAAATGGTTACGAATAATATCCCTTCCTTCCTTGGATAAAATTAAGAATTTTATTTAAGGTTGGTGGGTTGTTTTTGTCTAGTGGCATATCAACACCTGTATGTGTTATTTCATGCTGAAATCTAAATTTTTTTTTTTTTTTTTGAGTCATCACCATCCTTTGATCTCCTTATAGTTGATCAGAACACCATTGACAATCCCTTTCTACACTGTTCGATCATGTATTACTGTCTCCTGATCCCAAATGTCCAACCCTGAGTTCTGATTTATGGTGTCTGGGAAGGTCAATTTTCATGAGATGACACTACCAGAAAGATGACAGAAGAGTAAAGATGAGATGACGTCCTTGTCCACTTGGGGTTTGAGTTTAAGAGAGATTGGTCTCAGTTCTCTGTAGATTGTGTTAAGTGTTGCATAGGATCTCCAACTGATGTTCTGAATAGATGTGCATATGCTCCATCCAATTGTCTTTCAAGATAATGTCCATACAATCAATCAATGTTTGAAAAGTTTGAACTTTTAAGGAGGATGGAAGATTCAAGTGCCAAATCTCGTTAAATTTCAGTATGTGTTGATATGCCACTAGACAAAAATAACCCACCAACCTTAAATAAAATCCTGAGATGAGGTATTATGTACACTATTTGGACCATTGTCCTCATCATTGTCGCCATATTTATTACAATAAATATGTACGCTCCGGGTTTCTTGGAATGTTGAACTGAACCCTTTATTTCGCTCACTGGGGTAGACTGTTCTAATTAATGGATGTCAGTTATCAGTTATCTCCTGTTAATTCCCCTCTCCAAGTTCTCCACACTGCCTTAACCAGGTACTGAACTCACACTCTTTGGGTTCTGTCACTAACACCTTTATCCACTGTGCCATGTGTCTAAGTATGTATTGTAAGGTATTATAAACCTAATGTCATCAGCAATCATTTTTTACCAGTGCTCATATTGAAATTACTTGTTATCAATGCATGTTTTTTACTGGATCTCATATTGCAATTTTTTTTGTTATTATCACTTTTCTCTGGCACTCCTTATTACTGGTTCCCATATTGTATTCATTTCTATGCTTGGTCGGCTCAGGAGATTTTGTGAAATTTGTTACACCCGTCCCATGCAAGAACTTTGCAGATGTTGAAGTCATTTTGGGAATCTATTATGAAGATATTTGTAATCCTCAACTCTTTTGATGGATGTATTATAGAGTGACTTCAACTCAGATGGTTCATAGAAGGTTGTGATATATTCTGTCTTACTCTCGTTGCAGTAGAGACCTATCTGGTTCACTGCTTGCTCATTTGAGATAATAATGGTTTGATTGAGATAATAATGGTTTTAGCGATACAAATCTTACTAATTAATTCATAGTTGGGGGAAGAAGAGGTGGATTCATACCTTTCCTAAGGGTATTTGTGTGTAAGTGAATATAATGAACCCAACTGGAATTGGAACTGGGCTTAACAATTCTGAGCCAATATCCATTACACCACCCTCACATCCAAGTATTTTTGAAGAGATTTTTCTATCTAACATTATTTACTTTTTATTATATATGGTATTTTTAGTGTGTGCATGTTTTTGAAATGCTATCTTTGTTTTTTATTTTTATTTTCTGAAGCAGTGAAATGAATAACAACTGGCCTAGATATATGTCTTCTCAATCTATGCAGTTTTTTCTTAATTTCATGGGTTAAGAAACTAAAAATAAAAACAGGGATGCCATCTCAAATACATGAACCTACTAAAAGTTAAAGGGAAATAACTGAGACATCCGGAAGAGCCATGGCATGTGGAAGTGGAACAATCTGTTCTGACGAAGGCAGAGCGTACAACAGCCAAAATGTTGTGAATATGGCAATATGAGGATAACAGTCCAAATAATGTAAATAATTATAATACCTTGTCTCAGAGATCTAGACAGATATTGAATTGTTGTTGGCTTACATATTTTGATAATTTTTCATTTTTTATAATTTTTTTTAAAAAAAGAATTCTTCTCAAATTTATTTATTTATAATAATAGTAGAAAATAAATCTTTATAAAAGGTATTAATCAACATAGCATTGTATTTGGTTCACATATTTTTCATAATCTTGTACTGTTGACAGAGTCAGAAGCAGAAGTGTATGCAATAATAGTGGTGTCAAGGGAAGAACTGTCCCCTTCCTTTTGATACACTGTTTTTTTGTTTGTTTGTTTTAGTTTGTTTTTTTTTTTGTGGGCAAGAAGGTTGAACACTGTCGACAATTTGTTATTATAATTTCAGATAAAGACAAATTGGTCGCCAAGGGGTCTTTGTTCCCACCCAGACTGTGAGAAAATGGTGTCAAGTGTCAACTAATTTTTGACTAAAAGGCTGCCCCCCCCCCCGCCAAAAAAAACAATGTTGATGAAACTGGACAGAGAAACTGTAAGGCACCAGTGAAATAAGTTGAATGCTGTGAAGTAATTAGATAAAATAATTATCAAAATATTCAAAGACTGAATTTGTCTTAAAAAGAAACGGAATCTAAACACCAAGGTATTTGAAGTGTTTAGAATTTATTAATTTCATATTCTGAGCTTTTATGATGGATTCATTGTATGTGCCATCACAAATCTTGTTCCAATTCCTGATCATTGTTTTCCTTTTTACATTTCGAAACACTTGGTAAAGAATGTGGATTTTTTTTGTTCAGGATCATTCTTATCTGAACTCAGTTAGGTCAGTTATGTGCCATGCATGATACATACTTAGGAGATCATGTATTTTTGATACATGACTGACGAGGCAGATTTTTTCCACACAGTAGGTTACCATCTCTTTCTGCGGTAGACCAGTTGCCATCCAAGGCTAAAGAACCCGGTCTGTCCTGCTATTTACACATAGCTTGGGGACGAAGAGGATTCCTACCTTTCCCAAGGTTATTAGCACATAAGTGAATGTAATGGATTCGACTAAACTTCGATCTCAGCTCTCCACTTTCTCAATCTGAGCTGCTATCCATTACTCCACCGAAGAAGAAGAATTTTGAAATGTCAAAAATGAATTCTGTGAAGGTTTTTATTTCTCCCTTCTCTGTCTATTCAGATATTATTTTACTCTTTTTCAAGGATTTAGAATCATTTTGCTTAATTAGTAATTGACTATTGATTAATGACTCGTTAATCGTAATTTGTTTCCTTTTATTGCTTGAATTATTAATTAAAACAAATAAATCTCAAGTTTTTTTTTTCCACTTGACAACTTTTTTTTTACCTTAATTAAATCCAAAATAGTCACAGATGTAGTTTAAAAATAAAAAAATAAAAGAAAGAAAAAAAAATAACGTTTACTCTTCTTAAACTAAAAAAAATCCCCAGTGCTTAATAAAAGGTGAGGATGGTGGGTAGACGTTTTTAAAGAGATTTTCCGACCCCATCGAGCTTAATTAAAACCACCACGTTAATTAATTTCAAACCTTTCTCCAGGAGTCAGTTATATACTTTTTTTTTTTGGTTCTAGTTTTTACTTGCACGCTTTTTTTTTCTTTTTTAAGTTATTGCATTGTTTTAAAAATAAATGTTTCGACGACTTTCGTAGTTGTTTTTTTATTCTTTTCAAAATTACCAGGTTCCATTCTTTGAGGAAATTTAGTTTTTTTTTTTAATGTTAAAAAAGTTTCTTTATTTAAATTCTAAATTTGTTAAGATAATTTTTTGACCCACAATTTTTATCAACCTTCCGTTTTTTTATTTATTTGAGAGAAAAAAACCCGCCCCCTCACCAATTATTTTTAATCCCAACTTGCAAATGAAATGAAGACGTTATAAAGAAAGAAATATTTAATATAAAATAAATAATATACAAAAAATCATTCTGCGTAAGAAAATAAACGACATCCGACAGCAAGGCCTCTGATCAGGAGGTTTTGAGGAGCGTGGGACCACCTCTTAATTGCTGGTGTTCCCAGGTCCACCCTGACCCGGCGTTGGTAGCAGTAGTTAGGGTCCCAGCTATGGGCAAATAGTTAACCCCCAAACTGCGGTCAAAACACTATGAAAGTGTAGAAATAGGTTTTAATACCAGCAATACATTTTTGTAAAAAATTATTACCAGCAATACATTTTTGAAAGAAAAAAAAAATATTACCAGCAAAACATTTTTTAAAAAAGAATATTACCAGCATTACATTTTTAAGAAAAAAATATTACCTGTAATAATGTAATGCATTTTTGAAGGAGAAAAATTACCAGAAATACACTTTTGGAAAAAAATATTACCAGCAATACATTTTTGGAAAAAAATTTTTTACCAGCAATACATTTTTGAAAAAAAAAATATTACCACCAATATATTTTTGAAAAAAAATATTACCAGCAATAAAATAAAAATATTGTCGGCATGAAATAACCCATTGAGGTGTTGATATGCCGTAAAACAAAACAAAGCAAACCAAATCAAAATCGACGTTGCTGCAAGATGAGCCACGGATTTCAAACGTCGAATATTTTGGAAGATTTTTTGAGAAGTAAGAATCTAATTTAAATACTTACACTTTTTTTCCTTTACCCTTCTTTTTAGGCATTTTTGATGATGTTTAATTATTAATTAATTAATGTATTGCAAATCAGAAATCTAAGAAGTACTTTAAATCATTGATGATTTTAAAGCTAAAAGTCGACAACAAACAACACATACTTAACGGTGTTCATGTTTTGAAAACATAAATTTCCTCCTTAGCAACGAATCACTCATTATTTTTTTGTCTTTTCCTAATCTAGACGGACTTTTTTAACGGCTTCTTATATTGCTAATAAAAAGATAATATAAACTGGTTAAATAAAGTGATTTCAGATATTATAAAATCTCATTTGAATAAACTAAAACATTTTTTTTTAATGAGTGATTTTTTTTTATCTAAACTAAACACTTTAACGTGTACTCTAATTTAATAGTAACTAAAAATCGTTTCTAAAATTAAAAAAAATCTAATTCATAAATAAATGCAAGCAAAAATATCTTAGTTTTAGATTTTAATTGTCGAAATTTCTTTGAAACTCAGCTTAAAAAGAAATAATTGAAAAATAACCATTAACTTTTTATTATGAGCAAACTTTTAAAAGTACCCGAGTATGAGTGCAAAAAGTTCTACACAGTAAGTTCTCTCTCTCTCTCTCTCACACACACACACACACACACACACACACACACACACTTGGGTTTTACTTTTTTTTTTTTCTAATGAATAATTTACATGGCAGTTTAAAGGTTTTGTACAGTTTAGTTTTGAGTTGACACAAAAATTCGTTCGGCCAGGTATTAGAGATTAATTAAAAATCAGACGTGACCCTAAAACTAAAACTAGTAGTGACTACTAAGTAGTCTAAGTATCTTAATTAAAAATGCAACCTTTGTCATCAAAAGGTGTTTTGTTTCAACAACAGACCATACCGGGACACACTTCTTTATCGTTCGTATAAAAACTGAATTAATCATGAACTTTTTAAAAAAATAGTGATGCCCTAGTACACTAATTAATTAGTTTTAGTAAAAGAGTGGCCGGTAATGAAGTCACAGAAAAAATTTTGGATAGGAAAAAAAATATCACAGGAAATAAAAGTCACAATGTTGGCCGATAGTAATAAAAAGTATTTTATTTTTGTCGGGTACTTCACGGGTTTATAGGTCCTGCTTTGTTTGCAACAGAAATTCATTAAAAATCGATACACTGCAACAACAACAAAAAAAAAAAAAAAAAGAAGTTTTCTAACAATGCTACGGTCACATATTCGATAGGGAATGCTAGTTGTGAATCCTTTAAGACCCGACTTAAAATGAAGAATATCTCGAGTTGAAATTAAAATTTCTTTGAATTTTCAATTTATTTATAGACTGAGATTTTGTCCTCTTCTATAAATGTGAATGTCACTGTGTCACACTTTTTCAACTTTACTCCTAGAGTAAAACATCTCATCCCATTTTGGAATCAGGCCAACTCTAAATAAAAACATTCCGGGCCTGATCCGGACTCGCAATCCTGAAATTTTGGATTCCCAAGTTTTCAATACTGCAATTGTTCTCAGGAGATTTTTTTGCGACGAATATTTTTAAACGATAACAATTTTTATAACTTGGAAATAAATTTGGGAATAATCGAAATTAATTGCGAAACTCAACCATGAAATAATTTTGTATGGGAAGTATGGACCTACGTACATGAAATTGTCGGAGTTAACTCCTCCTTAATTGTCCAAATGGTTCACTAGAGGGCGCTCGCCCTACACTATAAATACTGGGCGATTTCTTGCTTCGTTCTCTTTTTCATTTCTGCATTTTCAGCGAACACATCTACAATGTAAGCTCTCGCAGAAGATTGCGTCTTCTCATTTGTGGGAGACGCCATGAACATTATACACACATACACGAACGTACGAACATTCACCAAAATACAAACTCTTTAAGTTCACACAGAAACACAAATGAATGTCTTTGTCACTTGTAAATTTGTTGTTTAATACATGTATATATATATCGGTTTTGTTTGTTTTCTTTACACTTCTTTATGGTGGATTCAATTTCTGAATCCGCCATGTTCTTGTAGTGGACGTTCTTCTAGCAGGAATAAACGCAGGTGTTCCTGATTTAACAACACGTAAACCCAAGGTCCGCTACAAAATTGTCTTTAAATTAAGTGGTGACAGAAGAATTATCGTTAAACTTTTAAAAGGTAGGTTTAAGGTACTTAAATGAAGCGATCAGTATTGAGTTTTTCTGTAGTTTATTGTTGCCCTGATAGGGCGGCTTTTATGCTAGTATATATATATATGTGTGTGTGTGTGCGTATATATATATATATATATATATATATATATATATATATATATATATATATATATATATATATATACGTACAAACGAATGGTGGTGAAAATACCTTCTTTAATAAGCAAAAGAAACCACATGTTGAAATACGCACTAATTCGTCTCGTGCCGATATCAGCCATTTCTTTCAATTTTCTCACTCTCCAGCGGTGACACCTACAATTATCTGGACATCCCATTTTGAGTTCTGTAGTTTATGGTTGCCTGTCGCATCTACTCCTCCCTACCTATTGTGATGAAGGCCCAATCAAGAGCCCTCTACAAGAGCTAGCTTAAATGCCGTGCCATAGCTAGTTTGGATAAAAGCCTGTTTTTTGTTTTTTTTTTTTACCTGGATTCGTTATTAAAAACAGCTACATTTTTGGAGACAGCAGTGAATGGCAGGACAGGGTCTGGGAGAAATATCAAAAAGACAAAACTTATTAAGAGTTAGAAGAGACAGGAGAATGTGGAGGGCTATGATTGCCTACGTACTGAAGGGACACGATACATAAAAAAGAAATAAATTGTTGATTTTCTATTCTAGTCAGGTTGATCATTACTACTACAACATTAACAATTAAATTAACAGACACACCTAAATAAATAAATAATACGCTTATATATAGACCAGGGATCGGCAATCCCCAGCCCCCTGACACATCCGGCCTGCAAAAGATTTTTGTCCAACCCGCCAACTTTACCATAACACAACTCAAATGTCGTACTCTATTTTTTTTCGTTCCTTTCAAGAAGACTTTTATTTTGTCTGTACAAAAAACAAACCCATGGAAACTAAGAAAGAAGTGTAGACCATGGCTCTGCAACCTAAGGCACGCGTGCCACACGTGGCACGCCAAGCAAATCCCAATGGCACGCAGCCGCAAATGACATCACAAAGTCCGAACCAATGACTACTATAACACAAAGAAGATATTTAGCTGTTTCAATTTTAATATATACTAAAGTATATATACTATATATTACTATATAAAATATATTGTAGAACAGGTATATTGACCTTGACTTGTATAAGAATACGTATGTATTGGCACAATGAATGATTTTAAAACCCTAAGTAGGCACATAGTCAGCAAAGTTTGTCGACTCTTGGTGTAGACTTTGAATTTTAACGAAGGCTGGACACCTTACCTATTTTTTCATCGAGCACTTCGGAAAATGTGTTTGGTTAATTTGTCAAGAAACCATTGCCACGAAGAAAGATTAAATTTTGTGGGTAAGTTTTAGAGGGACTTAATATAATTTATTATTTATCGGAAACTTTGGAATAAGACGAACTGAATCGAAGGTATAAACAAATAATATATACTTATTTATTTGACTTAGATCAAAGTGAGTCTGTTATAGGACGGTGTACGCGTTGTGAGATAAACACGTGTGCCTATAACAAACATGGCGGACTCGGAATATGAGTCCACCTAAAAAATAACGTAAAGATACGTGGAGCTATATATATGTGCAGTGTAACCCGGATATAAGAGAAACCCGGATATAAGAGAAATTTTCTCTGGTCCCAAATTAGAGCCATACTTACCTAAACAAAATAGACCAAACCCGGATATAAGAGAAACCCGGATATAAGAGACCTCTTCACCGGTCCCGACAACTCTCTTATATCCGGATTACACTGTACAAACAAATGATAATGTATTAACAACAAAAGGGTTACATGTGACAAAAACAATAATGTGTGTAACCAATGAATGGGGAAAGTTTTTGGTGCAAAGTATGTAAAGTGAGTGAATGTGCGCACGTACGTACGTACGTGTGTGTGTGTGTGCATTGTTCATTCGTTTCCCAATAGCCGTGTTCTTCTGCGAGAAATTTACATTGTTGTCGTATAAGCGGAAAAGTAAGAAAAAAGTGATAAAAAAATTATCGCAGAGTATTTATAGTGTTGGAGAGCGCCCCCTAGTAACGGTTTCGGAAATTAGGAGTAAATAACTCGACAAGTCCTTTGTAATGCGGAGAAGCGAAAGTTCGTTTATAAATTATATCTTGGTAGCAGTAGAGAGAAAGTCCGTTTTGCTTCAATAGTTGCAGCGCTGGAACGAATCTATTGGAGATCTCTTCCACGACGAAAGAGAACAACTGGTAATACACAGAAATACCGATGACCCGGAAATACTAAAAACCGAAGCGGAAGCTGCACTGACCAAATTGAACAGAAACAGGCCGGCAGGGCCAGACGGAATTGTAACAGAGCTGCTGACAGCCTTAGATGATTTCAGCATAGACAAGATTACAGAAATAATAAATTAAATCTACAACATTGGCGATATACTGGAAGATCTAAGCAGATCTATTTTCATAGCACTGCCTAAGAAACCAAGAGCAAACGAATGTGAATTCTATTGGACAATCAGCCTAATGAGCCACATAACAAAACTCATCATCCGAATTCTGATGACTAGAGCTTGTAGCAGAATCAGGCCAGAGATAGGACAAGAAAAATGCGGGTTTGTTAAAGACACCGTAACAAGGAATGCAATATTTATGCTCAGAATGTTATCAGAAAGAGCAATACAAATACAGAAGAACGTGCACCTGTGTTTTATAGACTATGCAAAGGCGTTCGACAACGTACGCCACAAAGATCTGTTAGAGCTTCTCAGCAACCTTGACATACTCGGGAAAGACATTAGAATAATCAAGAATCTGCAAAACCGCCTGCACACGGATAAAAAATGAGTTCAGTAGATA